AATCTTTGATCCGACATCCCAACACCTTTTATTATATACATATATAACATACTAAAATAATATTATTATATATAAAATAACCATCCAAGAATTTGTTTGTTGCTCCACATGGTGGTTCACTTTTATTGGCTACTACTTTTCGTTGTTAATCACATCAGTTTTAATAAAAACAATACCAGTGAAAAGGAGCGTATCGCTCAAAATGCAAGGGAAGATACAAAAAGAAAAAAGAAAGAAAACATACCTGTAATGAAGTTTAACTTCCAAAAAATAGTTGCAATGGTGGTTAACGACAGCTTTAACGATGTAACTTTTTCCCTTTTTTCTTAATACTTTTATCTCCTCCAAGACTCTTGTTCTTCTTCCGCCTCCTCCTTTTCTTTAGATATTTTTTTCTTGAAAACTCTATTTTTGCTATTTGCAAAAAATTGCTCCTCTCTCAAAGGGACGTTGCCTCCTCTTCCCAGATTTTTTATTTGTGTATTTTTGTGGGTCATTTAGGGTTTATACAAAATGCTAAAGATCTAAGTTTTTCCTTTTTCATACTTAAATCGATTTTTGATATTAGGGTATAAGCTTGTATACTGCAGGTTTCCGTTTTCGTGAGCCAAACTTGTTTTTTTCAAAAAATTTCTATATTTGTAAAACGATTTTATTATTTCATTTTTATTTTTTTTAAAAATTTGGAGGTAATTCTGGAGAGGCAAAAATTGGTATTCCCAGTTGCCTCTCTTTACTCAGTTCCTATCAATCAGAGATATTTTGAAGTTAGCGTTGATGAGAACTGAGTAAAGAAGTGAATCAATTTTTGTCTGAAACTAACATGGTGTACAAGGGATACAAAGACAAATATAATGAACACTCAACTGTTAGACAAAGTCATAATTTATGACGATTTGTGTTAAACGAAATGGTGAGACGACATTGACTTTTAACTAAAAACAAAGGTTGCCAGGCAGATACTGGGCTTAAACAATTGGATAAAAGGTGGAAAATGTCAGTCAGGTTCTGGACTATGAAAGAGAAGTAAAATGTGTTAGTCGGGTTCTGAGCTTTAACAGAAAAGTGAAGTGTGCCAGTTAGGATCTGGACTTTGACAGAAAAATAAAATGTGCCAGTTTGGTTTTGGGTTTTGACAGAAAAGTGAAATGTGTCAGTCAGGTTTTGGGCTTTGGCAGAGAAATGAAATGTGTTAGACAGGTTCTAAGCTTTGACAGAAAAGTAAAATATGCCAGTCAGGTTCTAGACTTTGACAAAAATGTGAAGAGACTTGGACAAGAAAGGTAAAGAAAGTCGATCAAGTTTTGTATTGCAAAAGAAAATAAAAGGATAGTCAGACTCTGGACTTTAACAGTAAAAGTAAGACAGAAAAATAAAGAGATCAATCAAAGGTAAAGTACCAAGTCAAATCCTAGACTTGGATTGAACATAAAGGTTGTGAGGCAAATAATGAATTTAAATTAAACTTCAAAATGTGACAATGGATAAAAATAAATATATGCTAATGTAATGATGTGATTGCACAAACTAGATGACTGTTAACACTTAAAATAAAGTTATTGCATGATGAAGTCAAATGTTGTGATGAGACATTAAATCAAAATAAACTATTTTTTTTAGGAAGGAATTTTAACTTTCAGCCTTATGAGAACGTGCACCTCAAGGTTCATGCATGAGTAAGTTCTTCGGCCAGGATCAATTCTTTCATGAAATATGAGCTGGGCAAGACATCAATTAAATTGGACTGCCATTTGTTTTTTAATTGTCATAAGGAGTCAATTTCTTCTGTCACGCTGAACTTATCAGGAGATTCATCAAACTTACTGTATGGATTTTTAAAGCTTATTATTGTAATCGTATTTTCTTATTACTCTTTTAATAGTTTGGATGTTTCCTTTTAGTATATAATTATTGAAATGACAATAAAAATGTTGGTTAATGTTGTTGAAGAAGTTGAGTAAATAAAGTGGTATATATAAGCTGAATGGAAGGTGACAAAAAGTCAGGGATAAATATTTTTGAAAGAAATGGTGAATTTACAAAGAGGACTTACAACATAATAGAAAAACAAATACATCAAACAAAAGATCAGAATGACTACAAGAATAACGAAGTATTATGCTGATTAAGTGACGTCTTCTAGATGAACAATGCTAATCTCCCATGTAAGTTGATCATCCATTAACAAAACTGCCAAATAAAATTGACCTAGTATGGTATTTTGAATTCATCTTCCATTTGATCCAACTTCTACCTCTCAAAATTGCCTCAGTTTAGTATTCTAGTCAATCATATTTCTCGATTTGAAGTCCTTTCTTGCGACTGAAGTCAGTGCCCCTTCTGAACTGCCCTTTTAGGTTTTCAGTTCAGTGTAGTATTTATTTGACCTTAATTTTTGCCTAAGCCGCTCTTTCAAATTTTTAACTCACCAGGTCGCTCTAACTTTTGCCTAGGTCGCCCTTTTAGGTTTTCAACCTAGCGAGTTGTTTTCTTTTTTCTTTTTTCTTTTTTCTCTTTTTTTCTTTTTTTTAATTATTTTTTTAGGCATAGTATTTTTTTTACAGCATCAGAATTGATGAGGTTTGGAAGATCTTGTCCATCCATGTTTGTGAGGATTAGAGCTCCTCCTGAGAAAGCCTTTTTCACCACATATGGTCCTTCATAATTCGGGGACCACTTGCCACGATAATCTTTATGCATTGGCAAAATCTTTTTGAGCATCATATCCCCCTCACTGAATTCTCTTAGTCGAACCTTTTTATCAAAAGCCTTCTTCATCCTTCTCTGGTATAGTTGACCGTGACATAACGCATTCAACCGTTTTCCATCAATGAGATTTAATTGATCAAAACGAGATTGCACCCATTCTGCTTCCTCCAATTTGGTCTCCATTATTACTCTTAAAGAGGAAATTTTGACTTCAATAGGAAGTACTGCTTCCATTCTATATACCAAAGAGTATAGAGTTGTCCCAGTTGAAGTACGAATTGAAGTTCAGTATCCATGCAAGGCAAATGGCAGCATTTCATGCCAATCTCTATATGTCACTACCATCTTTTGGATGATCTTCTTAATATTTTTATTGGCTGTTTCAACTGCTCCATTCATCTTTGGGCGATAGGGAGAGGAATTATGATGTCAAATCTTGAAATTGTCACACAATTCTTTCATCATTTTGTTGTTCAAATTAGTGCCATTGTCTGTTATCAACTTGCTTGGGAGGCCATACTGACAGATCAAATCCTTTTTAATGAATCTCATCACCACATTTCGGGTCACACTAGCATATGAAGCAACCTCAACCCATTTTGTGAAATAGTCAATAGCAACTAGAATGAAGCGGTGATCATTAGAGGCTTTAGATTCAATGGGTCCAATAACATCAATTCCCCACATTGAAAAAGGCAGGGCGATAATAAGACATTCAAATTTGTTGGGAGAACATTAATATTGTCAGCATATGCCTGACATTTATGACATGTCTTCACGTAACGAAAGCAATCAGCCTCCATTGTCAACCAATAATATCCAGCCCTTAGAATCTTCTTTGCCATGGCATGTCCATTCGCATGACTCCCAAATGAACCTTCATGAATCTCTTCCATGATCTTTCGTGCTTCTAAGGCATCCACAGATCTAAGAAGAACCATATCATGATTCCTTTTGTAGAGCATATCTCCATTCAAAAAGAAACTCATTGCTAACCTTCTCAATGTCCTTTTGTCATTTTCAACATCATTTAATAGGTATTTTTGGTGTTTTAGGAAATTTTTAATGTCATGATACCAAGGTTTACCATCAGATTCTTCTTTAACCATTTGACAATAGGCAGGATGATCAAGTTGTTGCATCTTTATAAATGATATGTCTTCTTTTTGACTCACTACAAACATTGAAGATAAAGTGGCTAAAGCATCAGCCAATTGATTCTCTTCACGAGACATATGCTGGAAAGTAATTTCATTGAAATACTCCACCAACTCTCTAATATAGGCTTGATAAGGGATCAATTTGGCATCGCAAGTCTCCCATTCACCTTTCAGCTGGTGGATGACCAAAGCTGAGTCACCATACACCTCGAGAATTTTGATCTTAGACTTTATAGTTGCTTGAATTCCCACAACACATGCTTCATATTCAGCTATATTATTTGTACAATCGAATGATAATTTAGCTGTGATCGGGATATATTGCTTCTCTGGGAAAATCAGTATAGCCCCAATCCAGTGTCCGAGTGCATTAGAAGCACCATCAAACATTATGACCCATTCATCTTTTGCTGAAGATTCTTTCTCATTAAACAACGCCATTATAGTTTCATCAGGAAATTTGTACTGTATTGACTAATAATCATTCACCAATTGATGAACTAGGAAATCCGCGAGAGCACTGCCTTTGATTGCTTTTTAGGTAACATACACAATATCATATTCTGACAAGAGGACCTGCCAACGAGCAATCCTTCCAGTAAGGACTGGTTTCTCAAAGATGTATTTGATTAGGTCCATTTTTTATGTCAACCAAGTCGTGTGACTCAACATATGTTGCCTTAACCTGCAAGCTGCCTAAGCCAAGGCACAACAGGTTCATTCCAACAAAGAGTATCTAGCTTCATAATTAGTGAACTTCTTGCTCAAATAATAAATGACCTACTCTTTCCAACCCGATTCATCATGCTGACCTAAAACACATCCCATGGATCCTTCTTACATTGACAAATACATAATAAGCAGTCTCCCTGGCACTGGCAGCACTAGTATCAGAGGATTTCGTAAATACTGCTTTATCTTCTCGAAAACTTCTTGACAATCTTTATTCCATTCCATCGACTGATTTTTCTGTTGCAACTTAAAAATTGGTTCACAAGTGGCAGTTAGTTGGCATATGAATCGAGCAATATAATTTAGTCTCCCCAAAAATCCGCGAACCTCCTTTTCAGTGCGAGGAGGCGACATTTCCATGATTGTTTTTGCCTCATCAGGATCAACCTTTATTCCCTTTTAACTGACTATGAACCCCAACAGCTTGCCTGATTTCACCCCAAAGGTAAATTTGGCAGGGTTTAACCGCAATTTGAATTTCCTCAATCGCTCAAACAATTTATGTAAATTTACAACATGGTCTTCTTCAGTCATTGATTTGGCAATCATATCATCCATATAGACTTCAACCTCCTTATGTATCATATCATGAAATAAGGTCATCATCGCCTTTTGATATGTTGCCTCGGCATTTTTCGAACCAAAAGGCATAACCTTGTAGCAAAAGGTGCCCCAAGGTGTAATGAATGTGGTCTTCTCCATATCCTCTTTAGCTATTTTGATCTGATTATAACTCGAGTAACCATCCATAAAAGAGAAAAATGAATGTTGAGCTGTATTATCTACTAGCATATCAATATGAGGCAATGGAAAATCTTCTTTAGGGCTGGCTCTATTTAGATCCCGATAGTCAACACACATCTGAACTTTTCCATCTTTCTTGGGAACTGAACAATGTTAGCAACCCATTGAGGGTATTTGGCAACAGCAAGAAAACCTGTATCAAATTGCTTCTTGACCTCCTCCCTAATCTTTAATGACATCTCAGGTTTCATTCTCCTTAATTTCTGCTTAATTGGGAAACACTCTGGCTTCAGCGGCAATTTATGCTCGACTATATCAACATCTAGGCCTGACATATCTTGATAAGACCATGCAAAGACATCACTATAATCATGCAAGAGTTTAATCAACTTGTCGCATTCTTGTTTTTTCATGAGGATGCCTATTTTGATTTCTCTCTTATCATTTTCAGTCCCTAAGTTAATTGTCTCAGTAGGTTCATCATGAGGTTGGATCTCTTTCACTTCTTGATCGACCAATCTTAGAAATTCTGAGGATAAATCAACATCACTATCATCCTCGATAGCTTGATTAATGGGACAATTAAAATTAGTGGATGAAGTATTAGCACTATTACTTTCAGACATGTCACTTTCGGATCTGCATTGTGTGAGAGTTGAGACAAAAAGAAAATAAACGACAAGATTCAAGCAATAAAGAAAGAAGACATAAAAGGTTGCTGAGAATTTCAATTGCATTTCATTTAAAAATATAATTAAAAGGAAACATGTGTCCCAACTTACAAAACAAACTGATATTTTAAATTACAAAAAGAAACCATATACCAGTCTTTTCAAAAAGTAATAATATTCTAAAGCTTTCAGACAAAACAATAAGATTAGTTTCAATGGTTACTTTGAATAAGCATTAAAAATCACAGGTAACTCGATGATCTCCCAATTGCCAACTTCTATGTTCGGCGGACAAGTGCGAACTAGGTCCACAACCTCTTCTTCAGGTATATCCACATCAGCAGCAGCCACTGAGTCTTGAAACTCAAATCCAGCACTATAGAAGCTCTTCAGAAGATCACAAATGGGGACCCCTTCAGTCTTAGGCTCTCTACCCTCCAACCTGACTAATCTTCTTTCTTTCTTCTCCACTATGACTCTCTTCTTATCAGCCTTAGTGGGTATGTACCCTAACCTAAACCTATCCTTATTCTCATAGAGTTGTAACCATTTTGCTGCTTTTGTGGTGGTTTGTCTTGCCCCAAATCCATATTGATAACCTCCTCGAGCATGACTTTAGTTGTCATTATGGATGTATTAGACAATTGAGGCTTTACAATTAGGGCTCCCTCTCCAACATATGTAGCATTCGTAATCTTTAAAGCTTGAAAAGAAGTATCTAGAGCTTCTTCAGCAGCTTCAATGTAAGGAGTGGATGAAGGCTTATTCACTAACACATCTTCTTCACCAGAAACAATCACCAACTTATTATCAATGATAAACTTCAGTTTCTGATATAATGTGGATGGTACAACTCCAACAGAATGAACCTAAGGCCTCCCAAAAAGGCAGCTATAAGCTGGTGCAATATCCATTACTTGAAACAAAATTTGAAAAGTGCAAGAACTAATTTGGATTGGGATTTCAATTTCTCCAATGACCTCTCTCCTTGTTCCATCAAAAGCTCTTATTATTATGGCACTGGGTTTCATATGCAACCCATCACAAGGTAATTTTGACAATGTTGCTTTTGGCATCACGTTCAAAGAAGACCCATTGTCAATAAACACTCTAGCAATAATGTGATCTTGACATTTCACAGAAATATGCAGTGCTTTATTGTGCCCCATTCCTTCGGCAGGTACTTCATCATTAGCGAAAGTGAGATAATTGTTTGAAACAATATTACCAATAATGCCTCCAAACTTGTCGGTAGTGATATCATGGCTGACATGAGCCTCATTCAACACTTTCAAAAGAGTCCTCCTATGTGGCTCAGATTTCAACAACAGCGATAAAAGAGATATCCCTGTTGGAGTTCTGTTTAACTGTTCCACAACTTCATATTCACTTTGCCGAATAAATTTTAAAAACTCACAAGCTTCTTCATCAGACACTGTCTTTTTTATATCAGGTATTTTCTCTTTGTTAGCATCTTCAAACTCGCCCAATTTGGCTTTCCCCTTTAAGGATCTTTCTATCTCTTTTGTTCGCTCTTTTCTCAGCTCCTCAGGTGTATAAATACGACCACTGCGGGTCATCCCACCAACACCAGCAATGTTTAAGACAACGAGAGTATTAGAATTGACACCTTGTGTTTGGTTTTCCTTAAAATTGTCGACATAAACCCTTACATCATACTTCCATGGTACTGCTTTGTTGTCCTTGTAAGGGAACGAAGCCGGTACTTGTATAGTGATGGGTCTAGTTCCATGGGTAGTTGGGGTATCCACACACTTGGTGTAATGAATGACCAAAGGTTTCGGGAAGGTTAGTGATTGTTCATCAACAGTCAAAACTTCATTTTTCTCTTTCGGGTGCTCGATTTGGACCAAATGCTTCTCCATTAGGGTTTGTAGAACATGCTTGAATTCTTCACAATCCTCAATGGAGTGGTATGCATTAGGGTGCAAATGACACATATTTTCTTCATGTACAAAACCCTTGATCAAGTCAGCTTTGCACAACTCAACAAAAATAACCTTAAGAGGAGTGGTAACGTCTTCAACTTTCCTCTTTAAAACATGGGCAGACTCTTCCCTGATGGCATTTACTGATGGTCTTCCATGCTTGAGTAGGGGATTACTCCTAATGTTAGGATTATCCTCCTTGAAATTCAGCCATTTGGCATTAATTAAGTCTTGCACTTTGAACTTTAATGCCCTACAATTCTCTGTCGAATGACCAATGCTACCAACGTGATACTCGCACTTAGCATTTGGGTTATACCCTCTTGGATAGGGCAGTTCTACAGGTTTCATTGGACATGGTACAACTAATGAACTTTGGAATAAGTGAGGTATTAACTCAGTGTAAGACATAGGGATTGGGTCACATTGAACTTGCTTCCTTTCTTGATTGTTTTGGGGTCTTATTTGGTTGAGATTTGGGTTTTGGTTCCAATGTTGGGGTGGTCTCATGGGTGGTGCTATGGGAAAAGTAGGCGGAGCGGGTTGGTAGGGTCGTGGCTGATAAGATTGGGGACTTGGATTCTATGAAACAACATTGATATATGAGTAAGACATTTGAGGGGCAGGAAATGTAGGTTGGAACTAAAAAGGTACAGGATTAGGTCTGATGAAAGGAACTTCTCTTGGGTGAAAAGTTATAACATTAGTCTCTCCCTCCTTTTTTCTTCGTGGACCATTTGTAAATTTCTTCAAATTGGAGGGTCCGCCAGAATTGTGAAATATCTTACCACTCCTTATTCTTCCTTCCACTCTTTCTCCGATAATCACAATATTAGAGAAGTTTGATGAAACACTTCCAATCATCTTATCATAGAAAGGTGATTGGAGAGTATCAATAAACATAGCCACCATTTCTTTTTCAGACAAAGGGGGCTCCACTTGAGCTACAACTTCTCTCCATCTCTGGGCGTATTCTTTAAAAGTCTCATCCTCCTTTTTTAACATATTCTGTAGTTGTAATCTATTAAGAGCCATATTAATGTTGTACTTATATTGCTTTAGGAAAGCATTAGCCAAGTCCTTCCAACTGCGAATACGAGTACGCTCAAGATGCATATACCAACTCAAAGCTCCTCCAATCAAACTGTCTTGAAAAAAGTGAATTAGTAGCTTATCATCATGAGCATGTGATGCCATCTTCCTATAATACATGATCAAATGACTCTTTGGGCATGTAATTCCTTTGTACTTATCAAAATCAGACACTTTCAATTTTGGAGGAACTATCACATCTGGGACCAAGCAAAGATCCGCAGCTTCCCCAATGCCATAACTGCTCCCCTCGATAGCTCTCAATCTTTCTTCCAATATTTGCAATTTTTCTCTAAATTGGAAGTGCTCCTCTGAGTAATTGGGTTGAGATTCTTCTAAGGTCTTATGGAAATGGAATGGTGATATGGCTGGGTTTCTATCAAGCCTAGGATTAGTGATTTGTGGTTGGTGGTGGATCGGTTGGTTTGGGATAGGTATAGTGTGGGGTATATGAGTTTCTTGGGGATGGGCATTTTTAGGGTAAGCATATGATGGGATAGATGTTTGGGTTGGTTGGATTTGTGGACCTGAAGGTTGTGCAGGATTGGGTTGATTTGATGGTTGGCCAATGTTTGGTGGGTTCTCAGCTATCGGGGGCGTATAACCTTGGAGAAGGCCATATGGGGGAAATTGGACATCTTGTTGATTGAAAGCTTGTTATGGAGGCCTTTCTACATGCAAGGTCAAAGGCACCATTGTTTCATGAGGAGGAAAAACTTGAGATGGTCCTTGTGTAAGGGTAAAACCTGGTGGATAGGTAGAAGTGAGTTGTGCTGGAGGTACTTAAGTAGGGGTCCCCTCTATGGTTCTTCTCTCTAAAGACTTTAGTGCCTCTAGGATCTGTGTCATCTGTTCTTTCAGCTGATTGACATTGTTCCTCAGTTCTTCATTAAGCTCCTCTAACTCATCCATGATCCTTGTTTGAGCGTGAGTTCTATAAGGATGCTTTAGAAAATATTTTCCCGTTATATTTGTTTAATTTTTTTTCTGTGAGTGATGCAATAAAAAAAATGATGCAGTCAAAAAGCATCACAGTTGTTGAACATCTTTAAGTTTTTCTTTTAAACGATAATTAATGTGGGATCATTATCAAATAAACCACATCAAAATATAAAATTTTTCTTAATTCAAGTGATATCATCTCATTGCTACTTGATCCCATATTAATTTCCATTTTCCTTAGATATTAAAAAACTTTGTGATCCTCAACATACAAATACAAAAAAAAAAAATAGATGAAAAATCTTTTATCTGTTTCATTGACACAAGGTCCTAGTGGTAATAAAGATTAATGTTGATTCTAAATGAACCAATAACTCGCAAGGCACTTATATCAATGAAATAAATATGTGATAATGTATGCAAGAACAATATGAATCATTACCTTTTTAAGTCCTTTTTGAACTATTTTTTTTCGATAAATCTAAATTGATACTTAAAAGGGTAATGCTTCATGTGACAATGCAATGATGATGATGTAAGAAAAATTAATTGAGAGAATAATGTGAATCACTAGCCTTTATATTATTCCAAAATGTAATAAAATCTCTTTTTTATTTAAAACTTTAAGGTGCTAATAATTCATATGATTTCTAGAAGAGTAGATAAGGAAAAAAATACTCCCTTTGTGTCATATTTTGGGTCACTTAAAGGGTCTAACTTAAAGATTTACGACTTTCTTTTACATGTATAAACTCACCAAAGGTGACTTGTAATCCTAAAAGGTCACTAGAGATAAGATCCAATCCTTGATGTTGACCACAACAGTAGAGAGTCTACTAGATGTGAGACATCAAGAAAAGGTCAAACTCTAGCTAGGGTTTTCATGATAGCCAAATAGGACGTGCATACAAAATAACACTACTACATAACCCCTTTAATCCTAGGTATACTTAGACCTGGGTATAGGGCCCCACTCAAAGTGTGTGACGAACGTGTAAGTGGTAGTGTGTGAGGGAGCATACAAACCTTGTCAACTCAACAAAAATAAAAGCTGCAAAAATTAAACAACACGAGAATATCACATATTATCAATAGTCATCTATCTTAGGGTAAACAATAATATTAAGAAAAATATATACAACAAGGTTACAAAAATACATGCACGAAATAAATACACGAATAAAAGAAATATAATACAATTAATTCAGATAATAAATAAGAAAAGAGAAAGGGATTAAGCAAATAGAAACAAAATTACACAAATTTGCGCAATTAATTATCAAAGGCTTGACTCTCTAAAAGATGTCCCCAGTGAAGTCGCTATCTGTCGCAACGGTACAGCGAAAAACGTTGTAAAAAATATCAGAGAAGTTGCCACCAAAGTTTATTTTAAGAAAAACCTTGGAAAAACTTAAATATAATACGATTTTTGAAACCAAAAATGAGTTCGGGAGTTATTTACATGTAGGGAAGGTACTAGCACCCTACAACGTCTGTTTAAAAATGGTTACCTTAAATTAATTGTGCAAATTCATCTTAATTTTGAAAAATATTTATTTAACCCCTAAACAACAATTTTATTTTCTTTTACTTTAGAAGAAGAAAAATTATTTATTGAGATATTGTTTGGGTATCTTAACAAAGAGAAAATTTATTTTGAAAATTATTTTCACTTGACGTGTATGGTTCCCGCTCCTATGTATCTCCAGATACAATGGAGAACTCAAAGCCACGTAGTTCTATCTAAAAAAATTATGAAGTTGGTTAATTAAAATAAGTTTAGTAAAGGAGATTTATTTTGAGATTAAAATTATTTTCGTAAAATTATAATGTTTAGGATACAAGATAACGCGATTATATATGTACCCTATGAGAAACAATCTAGAAGGTGAAAGAAGATCACACAACTATGTTGCAAATAGTTAAAAATATCTTATTCATAAACAAAGCGTTTGAATTTGAGTTTTAATTATGACTAATATTAAAAGAAAATTTAAGATAACGTAAGCTATACATAAATCTCTTATAATTTACTGTACAATCAAAGATAATATAAATTACACATTGATATTATAGAAGTTTGTATAAATAAAGGAGAAAATGTTTAGTTATTAAAAAAAATTTAGAATTAAAAAAGTATGACTTAAGAAAATTTAAAATATGAAATTAATTTTATTTAATGAATAGAGTAAATATATTTAATGATAAATTTATGTTGTATAGAACCCAAGGTAACGTTTGTACACATTGATCCTAACAATTTATAATGCATAAAGGTAGAGTTACTACACATTAGCATTATAAATTATTGTGTTGGTAAAATAAATTCTATTTAAATTGATTGATTAGTAACATAGTAATTATAGAGAAAAGATTTTGATTGATTATTAAGATAATTAAATTTTTAATAACATATGATAAATTAATATTGCCTAAAGTTTAGGTAACGTAAGTACACGTAGACTTTGACAATTTATAATGTATAAAGATAGAGTCGCTACACATTAGCATTATAAATCGTTGGATTGATAAAAATAATTTCAACTTAAATTAACCAATTAATATATTAATAATAAAAAGATTCTCTTAGTCGGTTATTAAGATAATTATCCAACTAATTAAAAATAATAATATATTATAAATTTATATTACACAAAACATGGATAAAATAGACATTAACAATCTTAACTCATTATAGTAGCGGGATTACATATAAATGAATGTAAACAAAATTGCGTTACCATTAAAAATTATATAATACCATAAAAAAATCATAAAATAAACAAATTAAATATAAACAAAGACATGAGAATTATTATGTGACATTTTTTAACATTTACACTACTCATCTTTTATTATTCTTGATAAAAAGGAATAATTTTTACAAATAAGAATACAAGTCAAATATAGTATAATTATATAAATTAAAATTAACACTATATTTCAATTGATATAAAACTTCTTCTTATTATGATAGAAAGAACTAAAAATACAAGATTTTCACAAAAAAATTTGTTAAAAGATAATAAAATGAATATTATTAGAAAAGAAAAAGAAAAAGAAAACAAATAAATTTTATATTATTTTTTTATCAGATGATTTCAGATATAGTCAGGATAAATTATTCTTCCATTTAGCAGTTTTAAATAGCATAATTCAAATAAAATAAAAAACCGTGATCAACGAGCCTTGAGCCTAATCAAGTCAACAGCCATAGTACTTTATTGAATGAATGTGAAGAAGAAAAATCTTTGATCCCACATCCCATCACCTTTTATTATATATATATATATATATATATATATAACATACTAAAATAATATTATTATATATAAAATAACCATCCAAGAATTTGTTCGTTGCTCCACATGGTGGTTCACTTTTATTAGCTACTATTTTTCATTGTTCATCATGAGTTTTAAAACAAACAATACCAGTGAAAAGGAGCATATCGCTCAAAATGCAAGGGAAGATACAAAAAGAAGAAAGAAAGAAAACATACCTGTAATGAAGTTTAACTTCCAAAAAATAGTTGCAGTGGTGGTTAATGACAGTTTTAACGGTATAACTTTCTCCCTTTCTTCTTAATATTTTTATCTCCTCCAAGACTCTTGTTCTTCTTCTGCCTCCCCTTTCTTTAGATTTTTTTTCTTGAAAACTCTATTTTTGCTGTTTGCAAAAATTTGCTCCTCTCTTAAAGGGACGTTGCCTCCTCTTCCCAGATTTTTTGTTTGTGTATTTATGTGGGTCATTTAGGGTTTATACAAAATGCTAAAAATCTGAGTTTTTCCTTTTTCATGCTTAAATTGATTTTTGATGTTAGGGTATAAGCTTGTATACTGCAGGTTTCCATTTCCATGAGCCAAACTTGTTTTTTTCAAAAAATTTCTATTTTTGTAAAATGATTTTATTATTTCATTTTTATTTTTTTAAAATTTGGAGGTAATCTAGGAGAGGCAAAAATTGGTATTCACAAAGACAAATGTACACTAAGGTTTGTTAGGATTTATCAACTACTGATTGGATAACACCCAAATTCCTTCATGCTTTACAGGAGTATTGAGGTATGACTGAGTTTAAAAATCTCTTCGTAAAGAACAAGACAAATAGAGCGTCCAATAAAGGGGGATTACTACATATTGGTGGCTCTACAACTTTGTTTGGCACTAAGGCGAACTTGGTATGTGATTTTTAATTTTATTTTAAAGTTTATTTTATTCAATTTATAATTGATATTTGAGATGGTGATTTAATTAAAATTGCAGGAAAAGTTATTGAAGAAACCACCTACGCATGGAGAGGTGTTCAAGGAGACACATACTTGCAAAGGATACAAAACCTTGTGGGTTGACATACGATCTCATGCCACATATGTAAGTCATCCTTATTGATACTAATGTTATTATTAATAATTTATTTAATAGTTCTCGAGACTAATATATAATCATCTCCATTTAACTTTACGATGACTATGTTCAAAGGCTTGAGTAGGCATCTTCTCAAGATCCAGAGTTAGTTGATAAGGATACTATATGGTTGGGTGACCTTTATAAAGGTCACATTTATGACAAGGAGAGTTGCTTTGCAGACTCCACGTCCCCTACATATGTCACCGAAGATGTCCCTTCTCTTACACTAGAGAAAGTGGAGGACATAGTCTGCACTCAGGTCCATGCCCTCAATGAAGAACTACAAAAGCAGAATGAAGAGATGTGGAACACCAAGAAAAGTGCATGGAAGAAGAAGTGGGCAAAGAAAATAGAGAAAAAGATAGAAAAGAAGGTGGCGTCGAGGATGCAAAGGGAGGTGCAGTAGCAAATGTATCAGCAGCATATGCGGATGCAGTAGATGCATGCATACTTTGAGCTCTTGAGAGCAAGCAGCTTCATACCTCTTCTTCCTCCTCCACCAGCTCCAACATCACCAGTCATCAACTCCATGCGTCATTCCTCCTTCGACTTCTCTTCTACTGATGTTGATGCTCTTTCGGATGACGATCACACCAATTATTCGTGATATACTTGTTATTTTATTTTGACATTATTTATTTAGATGTTTACTTATTCATTTGTAATGACATTTTAATTTTATATTTTATAAATAATTTTTTATTTTAAATATATAATTTAATAATTTTTATTATGTTTATAAATTGTGATGATTAAGAACAACGAGGAATAATTATGTTTGTAAAAAAAATGGAAAAATTTTGAAATTTTACAAACAATTGCA